GGGGGAAATGTTGTGCGATCGGCCGAAGTCAAGGGAAACTCGTGAAGCGTGCCCACGTGGAAGAGTGTCTTTCAGAATAAATACTTCCAACACGCGGGGAGTATGTTACCGCCACAGATAATTTATTTTATTCATTTTTTTTCTTTTGTATCTTTTTCAGTGTAGACTCTTACATAGAAAAATATCGGATTTTTCTTTTTAAAGCTATCAGGATGTACGAGCATTTTTTTTTTTTTCTGGAGATCAGTCCAGGATAGTTCTTTGCTTCATCTGTTTCCGTTTAATTTTTCCAATGAATTTTAAAAGATAAATCGTAATCCTAATTATGAGCACGAAAATCATGTCGACTGAATAAAAACATTTTTTAGCTTTCCTTTCAAGTTATTTTTTTTTTTCAGCTACGTTTTGGCAGATGTCTTCTGGGTCATCATTCTGTTTTTTGCAAAATCAATCAGCTAATAATTTGGACAAATACGCAAGCGCTCTCAGAGGAGGATAATTAGCAATTGACCCTTTATGCTCGTTTATTTTCGGAATCTATCAGAGAAGTGTCTTCATCATGACATTTTGTCATATCAGCGTAAGAGGATATTCTCTAAGCTACTGTTGTCCTATTTTCCTTGAAATCGTTGCTAAAAGCTGTTGCGCAGACCGTGAAAGCAAACCAGTTGTGGATTAAAAGCACTTCTTCATAATCAAAACGTCATGTATCGCATCGAAACTAAAATATAACATTATAAAACTGTATTAAAAGCCGAAGTTTTGAGAGCTTTTCCTTTTGTCCATAGAAAGCTGAACAAGAACTTCTTGACAAGCGTAATATCCTATCATTTACAACCTCCCTCATAATTCTAAAGCATGAACAAAACGAAATAGAGCTTGCACTTACTCAGCGAACGACGCATAGACTGGGCTATGAACATTTTACCGGATTGGATCCTACTCTTTGCCCAATTTATAAGGATACAGCTAGTAGATGTCAGTACCCCTATAATCGTTTGTGAATCGGTAGCAGCACATGTGTGGCTGCAGATTTTACAAAGAATTTTAAACTATTTAGCAAGAGGTAGAATGGAAAGGATATCACAACACTCCGTCGCTTTTCTCTGACAATGGTGATGCTTTTTTTTTTCATCGTAAACTGACCAATAGGACTCGCGCTATTTTCACCAGGTGCAGATCACTGTT